TGGCTTGGTTGTAGTTTTTGGGTTGGTCTGATTCCTGTTATTTTTTAAAAAGTATTCTCACCCTGTGTCATGTCTGTTGTTAGCTCTTTGTATGTTGTTCAGTTGGTGTTCCCATGTTGCCTTTTTTCATAAACACACCTCCTCTCCATTAGAATTGTTAGTCCGTCCCTACTCCCAGTGCATGTACACTAGGGCTGTGCATCTTAACTGGTCTCACGATTCGATTCAATTACGATTATCCTGTCACCGATTCGATTCGATTCGATATCCCGATGCATCACGATTCATACCAATGCGTTGCATCCTCCATTTTCTATATTACTGCACATGGCTTCTTTTTCATCAATGCATACATGCAGTAAATATGAACTCCCTTTTTATTATTTAGAAAGTGCTTCAGAAATTAATAACATAAATGTCTTGACATTAATTTATAAACCAAAATAAATCAATTGCATAGCTCTAGCATCCCTATACAGTATCTGTGTGTGAAATTGTTCCATCCTCAAAAACAAAAAACTAATGCTTCTGCAGTCTAGCTGCAGCTTCTAGCAACGGTCTTCTGTTAAAAAAAGGACACTGAATGTCCTGAATGTGGCATCACACACAGGACTTGAGTCTGAACACAGCAGACAACAGGAGTATTTACAATAGCATATAAAAACAAAAATACTGCATGTGGGTGCACACTTATTCTCTGTCTTACTGTTACATAAATCCCATGAATGTATGAGATTAAGTTAGCTTCATTATATCTCAATCAGTGATTAAGTGAATAATAACGTTTCTATCGGGCCACTATCAGCCTGTCACTCATTATTTTCAGGGAGGGGGCGGGGTTTGGAGGAACAGAGGAGACGGTGATCGCGGAAGCTTTTTCCCTCCTGCCTTCACAAACTTTACACACGTATCGTCTGAAAATAGCAAGAGGACATTCATACTCTGCAATCGAAGACTTAACTAAATCCACCAAAAACCTGACATGATTGTAAAGCGATTATTTTTGAAAAACATAAATCCTTGTGTCTCTGAGCCGCAGCGACAGGGACTGATTCAGAGCGGGTCCTTCTGCTGTTGGTTCTGGACTGGTGTTCTTGTGTTGGTGGATAAAGCAGACTGCTCCGTGTTTGGTGTTGCTGTGCCGCTGTGCCGTTGTCAGTCTGTTCCCTGATCTCTGCGTCACCGACCGATTTGATATTAAAGTGACAGAAAAAAAAACGTTATAGTAAAGCCGCGGCCGTAAAATCAGGAAGCAACGTTACTACGCTATAATCGATTATCTTCTGTCACTGCATCGATGCAGAATCGTCCGCATCGCGATGCATCGTAGAAACGATTAATTTCAACACCCCTAATGTACACACCTCCTCTGAATGAGCCTTGTCAGGTAGTTCCAGCAAATCAGTTTTTCTGTTCTCCTGACAGTTTCTATTGTCTGTCCCGGTCTTTTTAGTTGTATCCGTCCCCATCTAGTCTGCATCACTCCTGTCCTGAGATGACTCTAGCCCCGAAGCATTCCTGTGAACTCACTTGGCCTTAGTAGGTCTTCGATTGCTCCTGCAAGACTCTCAGGCTTCATGGCAACACATCCTTGCCAGCCATGAGAACTGTTCCCTTCTGTCAACTTACGTTCCGGGTAATTATTTTTCCCTTGTCCAGTTCTCGATTCGTCGACACTCCCCCCCTGCTTAGCTGAGGCAGAGTTCTGTTCCCCCTGCTCAGATGCGACTGACCCTGCATGATCCAGTGTCTGTTGGTGGTCCCGCCACGGCATTCAGACACCAGAGAGCATGTCCAGTTAGCTGAGTGTGGCTGAGATCCTCCTCCCTCATCCAGAGCAGCTATGCCAGTCTCCTTCTCCTCTCCTGTGAAGCTACACTTTCCAATTTTAGCTCTCTGTCCTAGTCATTGTTGGATCATTGTGCTTGTGTTGTTCCTGTTGCCTTCAATCTCCTGAAAGGGGGTCCCACCAGCAACTAACTATAGTGCGTGAAATGCAACAGGAAAGGATAATCACCATTGTTAGCAAGCTGGCTAATTAGAAATGTAATCATGGGGCGACTGTGGCTTTGGGGTAGTGCGGTCCTCTTTAAATCAGAAGGTTTTGGGTTCAGTCCCAGCCCCTGCAGTCAACATTTCGATGTGTCCTTGGGCAAGATAACTAACCCCAAGTTGCTGCTGATGGATCGGCCAACGGTGTGTGAATGTTAGCTTCCTCGAGATGTGGCAAACTGCTCTGTATGAATGAGGTTCGAATGATGACTTGTAATCATAAAGCGCTTGAGGGGTCGTTAAGTCTGGATAAAGCGCTATATAAATAAACAGTCATTAACCATTTAGCATTTGCTGTACCAAATAATAACAGACTCTTCAATTCACCAAACATGCAGGCTGATGGCTTATATCCAACAACAGAATATTGTTGATGGTGAGAAGTGTCCTGTGTTTCCCACTCAACTTTCTGATTTTGGTTATGATTGCACTATCCGGTTACTTAATGCTCACTGCATTTTGCTATACTTCTTAATGCTAAGGGCACGGATTCTGCATCCTTGATTTACGACTGCAGTTTAATTCAATTGAGTGTTTAAATACTATATATATATTATATTCTTCGATTTTTCTTCATTTTAAGTTTTACCCATTTTGCTGCTGCATTAAAAGTGTGAATTGTACAAACTGTAATTCCAATGAGGTTGGGAGGTTGTGAAAAACGTAAATAAAAACAGAATACAATGATTTGCAAATCCTTTCCGACCTATATTCAATTGAGTACACTACAAAGACAAGATATGTAATGTTCAAACTGATTAACTGTTTTTTGCAAATGTTCACTCATTTTGAATTTGACGCCTGCAACACGTTCCAAAAAAGGTGGGACAGGGGCAACAAAAGACTGGGAAAGTTGACGAATGCTCAGAAAACACTGTCACAAACTGGCTCAGGGAATGCTAACCCTAACCACTTACCTGTTATAAAGTGACAACATAATATCAAGGTAAGGGCGAGTGTAAGGTGTGTGTGTGTGTGTGTGTGTGTGTGTGTGTGTGTGTGTGTGTGTGTGTGTGTGTGTGTGTGTGTGTGTGTGTGTGTGTGTGTGTGTGTGTGTGTGTGTGTGTGTGTGTGTGTGTGTGTGTGTGTGTGTGTGACCTAGCATTACTATCCTTGTGGGGACCTAAATCTGTTTACATAAAGTCACGTGTGGGGACTCACGTCCCATATGGGGACATAAGGGAAGTCCTCATGAGGGGAATCTTTAATTTTAGGGTGAAGACTTGGTTAGGGTTAGGGTTGTGGTGCACGGGCTCTCGGGTCAATATTTTGTGTTTAAAAACCTGTTTAAAAACTCCTGTAGTAAAACCAATACAAGTTTATAAAAGCCCTGTTTGGTCTGTGTTAAAAATGTATAAGAAAGTGCAATAAAAGGGATAAAAGAGAGCAGCAGCTGCAGCACAGAGCGTATGCGGCGGGGTTAAAACCTGTACTCCTGCCCCCCCGAGGGGGGCTTCCCCGGTGGAGTGTCCGAGGCTGCGTCCCACAGCATCTGGTAAAAGACCTGGTAAGTGGGTTAAAAAACATCTGGCTAAAAGGACCGAGGTTGACTTTGTTTAAAATCGGCATGCAGGTAAAATTTAAATAAATACATAAAAGTGCTTTTAAAAACTAGTGCTAGTAATAAAAATATGTATAATATAAAACAAATATGTAAAATGTAAAATACACACAGGTTAGTAGGTACGCAGGGAGGCGAAATATCTTAAAATAAAGTCAACCAAGTGTCCCTAAAAGCGTTTAAAACCCAGGCCGAGGTCTAGAGAGGTGATGCAGGTGAGACATGGGACACGCCTCGGATGATGTTTAAAAATAAAAGACCTGGTAAGTGGGTTGGCTGATTTCAGGGTGTTTCCCTGCGGGAGGCTCCAATATCCATTTAAAATAAAATGGAAAGTAATAACTAAAATATAAATAAAATAATATAAACAATGTTTAAATAGGAAACGGGGGATTCATAACATGTAAAACATAATAAAATATATAATATCCTCATTTGGAACCTAATGAAATAGGAAAACATACAATACAGTGCAAACATAAAATAAAATGTAAAATAATAATATATAAAATATAAGAAACATATATAAAATGGTAGTAATAATAATAATAAACAAAGAAACCCATGCATTTAAAAATCATAAAGGAGTCCAGATGAGGAGGATTTATAAAATAAGGATAGAAAATATGTATAAAGAATACATCATATACAGATAAATTGTTGTTGTTGTTCACACCACTTTGTGAACAACTGCGTGAGCAAATAGTCCAACAGTTTACGACCAACGATGAATGACGAATCAACATACGAATCAACACATCAACGAATCAACATACAATTGCCAGGGATTTCATCATCTACAGTCCATAATGTCCTCAAAAGATTCAGATCATTTGGAGAAATCCCTGCACTTAAGGCCGGAAAGCAACATTGAATGCCCGTGACCTTCGACCCCTCAGGCAGCACTGCATTAAAACCTGACCTCATTCTGTCCCAGCTTTTCTGGAATGTGTTGCAGGCATCACATTCAAAATAACTGAATATTTGCAAAAAAACATAAAGTTTATCAGATGGAACATTACATATCTTGTCTTTGTAGTGTATTCAATTGAATATGGGTAAAAAAGGATTTGCATTTATTGTATTTTGTTTTAATTTACGTTTTACACCACGGGGGTTTTGTAATTCCTGTGTGCTTAACGATTACTATTTTAATATTAAATAACAATTCACAGCAAGTAAGCATTAAGGTAATATTTTAACCTTGTTATAATAAAAAAACACTTATATAGAGCAAGTCAATTTAGCTGGACACAGTTTATTCAGTGATATACTCTAGTGTTTTTTTTTAATTCATTTTAAATTGTCAATGCCTCACACCAATACAAGTGTCTTGGACGCTTCCTCTCTCGTACCAGCATCACACACATGCCCACATTGTTCTTACCATCCTCTCTTCCATGCCCTGTCCTGGCCTCTGGTTGGCCTCGTGGCTGTCGGGGGGCGGGGACACGCTCCGGCCCTCAGGGTCCACCCAGCTGTACACATGGTTGGTGATGTAGCCCCCAGGGATCCGACCCATGGAACACACTGTAATGGCCAGTTTCTTGCATCCCTTGAGCACCTGCATCACAGAAAGAGGGTAAGGTTGTGAAAGTGCTACATACAGCAGACCTAGTGACCCTTTCACAGCAATCCTTTGGGAAAATGTTTTTTGATCGCTGTAGCATGAGTATGTGTACCACAAAGATTGTTTGTTATTGAATAGGAATGGACTTTACATTCACAATGCAATACAATACAATACATATAATGTATTATTCTGTTCCTGATATCAAGCCTACCAAGTCATTATTGAAACAACAACAAACGGTATAGTATCAACACAGTTAAGCGCGTCAGCCAAGTCATTCCCAGGAGTTAAAACCCCACAGTAGCTTTAGTATTAGTATTAGGGTAGGGGAGAGTGGGGTAAGATGAGCCAGTGAGTAAGTTGGCCCAAATCCATTCACCCTCACACTGCCAGTTAAGCCACTGCTGGTTCCTCTGGTTGTGGTTTGCATCCACTCCAGAGAAGGGCTGTTCCCCCTGTGTTTGCTGGAGGAAATGTGTGAATAAAAGCACTAGGACATATATTCTTACTAAATATTACTCTTCCCTCGAGAATTAACTTCAGGTCAGTGCATCTGCTGGCACATAATTGAGGTTTTTTTCATTTGAGAGGGGGACAGAATTAGTAGAATGCTTTGAGGCCACACCACAGTTACTGTGACTCATGTACGCCTGCTGAAACAAAGCAAAGTCTGCAAGAAAAGGGAGGTAAAGGTGCAGAAACCAGTTGGTTCTTATATGGATGGAATTGTTAAAGCTAAAGCAATGTTACAGTTAATGTTAAAGACAGCCAGCATCTTTGTGAACATTCTATTGAATCTAATATCTAAAATGATCACCCTGTTCTGCTGAAATAATGCCCAGTTGCCATGATTGGGAATCACAACTGGAGTTTGGGGACTGGCATGATTGTATAAATGCATACAAGTATGCATTCAAAAGACTAAAACTAATTAAAATGATGTTCCTGTTTTATGAGTTCTTAGACATCAGGGCGATATGCCTCACTGCAACTGTCCGCCATGGGGTTTCATTGTACCCCAAACCAAAAACATATCTTGATTACTCACATAATCTTGGCCTTACACAGGGTTCTTACACCTTTTCCAAAGTCAAATTCAAGCACTTTTCAAGCATTTTCAAGGTGCATTTTCAAGCTTTTCAAGCATCTTACAGCTGTTGTAAATTACATATTTATATACACATACTTATACTCAAATGATTATTTCCCTACCTCACATTAAATCAGATGTTCTTTATGCTATAAACAACCAAATGTGTGTTTCGTAATAGCATTCTACATGAGGATACAAAATTAAAGAAAAGAAAACTAAGTTTAATATTTCAAAATGAGTGACCCATATAACCTGGCTGAGCCAATATAAAACAATCAGCCAAATAACTTTTCAATACATTATTGATTACTATTTTTGAGGTACTTTTAGGTTGGCAGTAAACATAAGTCAGAGGTGAATTGTGTACTTTTACTCCACTACATGTATTTAATACCTTTAGTTACTTTACAGATGTGGATGAATGATGTGAAATCTAATCAAGTGTTAAATCAGACTTTAGTTCCACCTGGAGTAAATCCACAAGCTACCCTGCAGTATACAAAGTCATTCAAACTAGCTGCACCTTTACCAGCTTTGAGAACACTTTCATGATCAATCATTATAAAACATATCATATATATTATTAGGGATGCTCCGATCGCCAATTTTGGGGCCGATCAGCCGATACCGATCGCCGATCCGATCGAGTGGGCGGGGCCTATGGGGATCTTCCATTTAAAGTAATGTTTACAACTCAGGTAATGGGGCTCATTCACTGGCGCTTCCACAAACAAAAACCAACATAATTATTACATTCAAATTAAGTACATTATTCAAGTTTACATTAACTTGGGATAATAACAGGGGAGAAATTAGCAGAAGCGCTCTCTTTTCCTCTCTCCCCCTCTCCTGACAGCCCGTCAGTATCTCCTGCAGCTCACTGATCCAGTAATGAGCGACCCGACAGTGAAGAATAAATATATTTATAACTAGTTTAGCTTGTTCCAGAGGTAGATCAAATAGCTAAGTGTGTTAGGTCTAACTCTTAATGTGTGTTCTGCTCCGCTCACCGGTCCGTCACAGCGGGTGGAGCTGCAGGATTTCTGCTTCACACACGTTGCATACCGCTATTTTATTGTCATTTTCGGACACTTAAAATACTGCCAGACTAGTGAAGCCATTTTGGCGAGCTTGTTTTGCCGCGCACAGAGAAAAGTGTCATGTATTTTACATGCAACGATAGCCTAATCTAAAATGCTCTACTACGGCGTACCTTTCGTGTGGTGTGTGGCTCGTCAGCGCAGACTCTCACATCGTTATTTTTGCACACTTTGCAGGAGGCTACTCTTGGGCTTGCTTGACCCTCGTCTTCTATTTGTCTTCTGCTAGCCAACGCTCATTGAAACGGCAACCTCCTGGCACACTGTCATCTATCACTCTCATCAGAATGCCCAGGTCACACACGTAACAAAAACACTTGCCGGTCACGCGCATTGCGCGGGAAGGCCAGCGCGGAGCTGTTTTATGTAAAGGCCCGGACACACCAGTCCGATTTTGGGAGTCAGAGGCCGTCAGAGGCCGTCAGAGGCAGTCAGAGGCAGTCGGGAATTCGCGGCGCCCTACTCAGGTTTGTGTGTCCCGCACCGTTGTCTCTTTACGGCACCTTTTCACACCTCCGGACGCCTCCCGCAGCCGATTCAACATGTTGAATCGGCCGCGGGAGGCGTCGGGAAAGTCATGTACATTTTGCAAGAAGTGGCCCTTATTCAGATAGTGTTTCTGTCTGCCCCTCTATTCTTTCTCCCATTATCCTCCACAATCTGCCTAGAAGTATTTTAACGTTGTAGCTGTTCAAGATGGTCATTTTAAAATGTGTTAAAAATATACTGTTAGTAGTTAAACCAATAATAATGTGCGGCTGCTACTGGCAGTTATGTAGGCACATTTTTTATTTTTTATTATCGCTGTGTGATTAAAAGAATAAACACAAATAGCAGGATAGGCAATACAAAACTTTATTTCGTACCTTGATACTACAGCCATTGATAACACAGCATTAGACATATTTGGCAAACTCTTTTTTTTATTGTATTACACACTATTTTTATCGTATTGTAGACGATTGTTGACATTGTACAGTTCTTTAGACATATTTGCTATATCTTATCCCACTGAAAAGGCACTGCACCGCACTGCAATATTGGCATAGTTCATCCCTGTGCTGCTTGGCTCGAGCTGGATTATTGGTGGTGTGTGGCAGGGTGGCCTGCCGTAGTTCAGGGTCTTGTCTCCCTCTTCCTGGGACAGTGCCATGATCGGGTCCTTCCTGGTCAACAACTCCCGCCATGTATGCGCTACAGTTCTCTGTGCGCAGGAAGTTGTGCAGACCACAGCAAGCCTGTGGTTCTTCTTCTCTTGGTGTATAAAAGGCAGTCTGTCTTCCGGTTGTTGCCTCTTTTGAATGACGAATACACACTACCGCTGCCTGCTGGTAAGGACAGTTATTGCCACTCGTCGACTGAAGTATTTGCGGTGTGTTCGTAGGCAGGCGGCGTAGCGGGCGACGTAGCCGACGCAGCCGACGAAGGCGACGAAGCTGACGTAAAAGTCGGGACGCCTTCGGTACGCGTTCTTTGGTCTCAGGTGGGTGTGTAGCGGCCTTAAAAGCGAAGGAATTAAGCGCGCTCCGACTTCTTTCTTTTAATCTAAAAAGCGAAGTAAAGCATTTACAATTTCAAGCACTTTTTCCCAAATTCAAGCACCATTCCCAAAATTCAAGCACTTTTCAAACCTTGAAAACACCTCGTACAATTTCAAGCATTTTCAAGGATTTCCAGCACCCGTACGAACCCTGCTTACAGTATATAAAATGTGTCTGGAATCCGCAGCGGTCATTTAGTGTTCTTTGTAATTTATTATTTCTCTCTACTGACTTTTTCTCTCAGACAGATTGCCCTGAAACCCCTCAGACAGAGAAAAAGTAGGAGAATAATGTATTGTCTGTATTTAGTAAAGACTTAGAGGGTTTTCCAGTCATTTCAGTCATGGCTGCCTTTGCTCGCATCAGCCTGATTTCCAGCAGCCGCCAGCAGCTGTGCAGTAAACAGCTCTGGTAAACCCACTGTGCAATCCAGCAACCCTGACTACTTAGTATACAGAGCCCAGTCTGAGATCACATTGGCACACGTAATAACACAAGTCACAAACATTTTGCCTCAGGACATAACCTTGCTGAACCTTATTTTGAACGCTTAACTGCATTTTTCGAGCCAGATATGTTAAATATAATTTAAAAAAAACATTTTATCATTGGGCAACCATTTCACAAAAGCCAGACTTGTTGCTGGTAAATGTCACTGTCTGTTTGACAAATGAATCCTGTTTAATGTATGTCACCTGCAACATGATGCCAGGGATAAAGATGAAAAAGAAACAACAGAAACACAAAGAGCTCAACATTGGAGACATGTTTCTGTCAGAAGAGAATAAATGTTATAAGCATTAATTGTAGCATTTCAGTTTCCCTAGAAGATTTGCAAATGTTAACTAAAGCATGATTACATTAAGACTGAGGATAGGGAAATATGCTGGTCTAAAGTCTGTGCTGACTTGAAGCTCAAAACAAGACTTTTCTAGACCACTATCTTACTTTGTTCTCTGTCATTATTGTTGCTTCTCATTTGGTCCTCATGAAAGCTCTCCCTTCTAATAAAGGACTCCAGATTGACCCCAATCTTGAAGCACAACTGCCCTGCTGAAGTGTCTTTGAGCAAAACACTGAAGGCTGTTGCTCTGTTGTTCAGTGTGACCCTTAGCCTCGGTGTGGGCGATTTTCCTCAGGGATCAAAAATAATTACATTATTTATGGATCTCTTCATTTGTCCTTTCCACAGCAACTTATATAACAACAGAGGCAGATTATTCATGTTTAAAACCCGTCCTCTTCTTCCTCGCCTCC